CTCACCTTCCTGTTACAACTGCCGCTTCTTCACGCCGCGCTTCGGTTTCGCAGGTCTGGCCTGTGGGTCGGCGGACTGAGCCGGAGGCTCTTTAAGTTATCGTTGCCGTGAACACGAGGTAACAGCTAAGGACAAGGCAGTACGGGTCGCAATCTGACCATGGACTCCAATCGGCGAGGACGCAATCGATGGGGCAACTTTGCTTGTTGCAAGCTTGCGTCTCGTTTGTGGGTCCTTTGCTGCATCAACAGCCCATAAAAGCCCGTAAACCATCTCAGTAGTCCAATTCCCATCAATCCCCAGTCCTGTACATTCTTCGGCCTCCCCTTCCTTCGGTCGCGCAACGTACCGGCTGCCTTGCAGCAATCTCACACAGTTGCATCGTTTGAAGTTGCAATAGCGGCCCCATTGAGGCCCAAAAGTCCAAAGGAGCAAGCAAACGGCTAAACGAAGATACCCATCCCAACGAAACTTCTGCAACACTCAACCTGATGTCAAGAAGCGAGACTGAACTCCACCACCGCAGGAGACCGAGCACTGATCCCACTCCTCAGAAGCAGATGTTCAAAATGAATGGAGCTGCACATTGTTGATTATGATTGACGCAGCGCTGATTGCATCCTGGACACAGTCCAGTTTGACCACAAACAGTCCAAGCAAGTGTTGTTGCACGGTCTCGAATGAAAAAGGGGACCGCACGGCATGCCACCATGAGCAGCCTGTGGCAGAATTGCGCACGAATCAGGCAAGTACCGCTGCATGGCTCTCGTGGCTCTCGTGAGGTGCCTGCAGTGTGACTGTCCGAGTCTGATTTTGCAGTCCCTGGCAAAAAGGTTCGCAGCCGCTCCAGTTGCTCCAGTCCTTCCACACTTCAGCTTTACCAAACACTCACTAAAATCCAGAAAGCCTGAAAGCCATCTAAAATTCTGACTCATGTGTTACGCTTATTTCAGATCAAGGACTTTAACTGCAAAGACTCAAGACCTTCGGTGGAGAGACGCTCTAGTTGGTCATTGCTTGAGGACGTGAAGGCCTACTGCTTACTGTAGCAGGACTGCAGACGTCTCTACGACAGGCAGTCCAGTTCTTGACAAGTTCTAACATCGCGGAAACTTTATTTCCAAAATTTGACCAGGCATCGCTTGTCTCACAATCCACTGGGCAGTCCTTGGCAAATGCAAAGCACTCGAAACTGCAGAAATCTTACTCCTCTCACATCGTCTCGCATTTGCAACCTGTGCTAGTCTACTTTGTTCCTTCCTCAAGAACATGCCTGTGTATGACCTGGTGAACATTGCCAATCCTGGGGGTGAGGAAGTCTTGATTGTTGCAGTGTGCCTGTCGAGGACAATCATGTCAAGGCCCGCAAAATCAAAGCTACCAGCCCAGACACCTGCGTATTGCATTGCTTCCTCTCCTCGGCATCTCCACTGCAGTTCTTCCCGAAGCCTTCAACCTCGACCGCGATTTCCCTGCCACGTTCCTGAGTCAATCTATTTTCTGGACATGCGGGACCGTAAGCGGAAAACCGTAGAGAGAGCCACAGACATCATGCAAGGCTCTTGCATCCCACCGCCGCAGCTTGCAGAGCAGTTCCTCCATGCCGTCCAGTCGGACCACTCACAGTCCACGCACACGTTGCTGCATTCCTGGCAATGTCTCTGCTGCAAGCAAAGCAATACTGAGCGGCACTAACTGCTCGATTGCACCTCAGCTTGCGTCGTGCTGTTGCAGGGAAGCCCTCCATACATCGGACGCTTCTTGACCCTTCGGGACCTGTACGGTCATCATTCTGAAGGCTGAAAGGTGCTCTGGTTCTTTCCCTCGGTGCCTTTCCCGAGTGCCAGGGCACTCCGAGGTGCAAGCACCCCAATCAGACCAGGCCTCAGGCACGCAAAGCAGCCGCAAAGCAGGAGTAGAGGCTGCACCAATGCAAGTGGCCCTGTACTCGCAGTCGATCGGGCAATTCTGTCTGTTGCACTTCATGCCCTGGCAGCACGTCGCAGTTTACTTCTTTGTGCAGGGAACTTCATAACACCTGCCTCAAAGATCTTGCCATCACAGGGCATTCCCTCGCCAATCTCCGTTTTCACATAGACACAGGAGCCCTCTTCCGGTAGCAGCTCCAAGTCCCTGCAAACCTTGCATGAAGCATGGCAGTTTTCGAATCATGCAGATGTCTGTGCAAGGTTTATACTTCTGTTTTACATTTGCTCGTCCGATTGCCGAATGTGTCGCTGCCATCGCTGCCACCAGTTCTGGATTTTGGCAGACTGCTGGACTGCTGTTCATCAAGTGGCACGATGCATCAGGACACGGCTCCAAATTGGTTTTTAGCCAGGCCATTTGGAGGCAAGGGTCTGGCATGCAAGACTGATATTTGTCGAAGGGGAAATGCTTGGCAAAACTCTCAAGCCTTAAGTACACCGTCAAAGCATGGTTTCCACCCTTGGCGCTCTCTGCGTTGCAGGGATGTCAGTATGCTTTCGAAATGGCATAGACACAGGAGCTGCTGTCAGGGCGCTCCTACCTGCTTTGGCATGCTTTGGCATGACGGACTGGACATGCGTGCTGCGTGCTCTGTCCCAATGCCAAGCATAACCTTCCAAGGGGCTCTAAAGCCACCGTCACAGCCTTTATCATAAAGCGCAACGCAGGCTTTATTCCCACCTAGGCTTGCACCATGGACCTGCTTGTAGGCTGCTCGCAGCTTAAGCATGTACTTGAGCTCGTGAGAAGGCCAGGATATGCCAGGTTGCCGCACGTCTTCATGATCCCGGATCCCAGGTAGTCCTTCCCCGTGTCGAACGTCTTTCCAAGGCTATCCTCACTACACCTGCAAGTCGACTCAGATGTCAAGGCTCGCACCTTCAGTGGAAGGAGTTGTTAAGACCACACCCTGCCTAAAGCCTAAGCGCTTTTGATAGCCGAACGCTGCGCTGCCAGCTCCCACCTGGACTCGCCCCGGTGAAGCATGGTCAAAACCAACAGCTCTGACACTTCTGCAACTAGACATCCTTGCACCCCGGTGATGCGCTCAATCTTGAGCCCCCTCACCCTAGCTGGCCTGGCCCACTGGCAGTCTAGAAAGCCACCCTTGCCTCCAGAAGGCTGGCTTCAGTCAGATTGGGCCGATCCACATACCTTGCAGAAAGCCAAGACTTTAAGATGCTGCTAAACCTGACCTAGCTGGACCTAGCTGACCTAGCTCAAAGCTTGCAATGGCTTGCACAGGATCATAATCATGATTGGCAAGGCACGTCTCTGTGCGGGTGCGGTTTGTCCGGCCACCACCACAGGGTGCGCTGCAGGTGGCCCACTCCGTCCAGTCCGACTGCTGGCAGTCCATGCAGAGGTTGGCGCAGGCCTGCTAGAGAGCATGATCTTTTTGCAACTGGAAATGTTGTGCCTTGCCGGTTGTGGCCTTGCGCTGCTTCAATTCCTGTAGAGTCAAGTTTGAGCTCTCATCTTTCACCCTCACGTCTTGAGCTTAAGCTTGTCGCTCCTCTTCTGCACAAACAACACCACCATGGGCTGCTTCGGAAACGATGCGGCGAGCTCTCGTCTTGTTGCCAGAACAGTATGGCTCGCATTCCGACCACTGGGCCCAGTCCTAAGCAGAGCAACGCCCTGACCACATGTGCTCGGCTGAGCGGTTTGAACGACGAGGAACGCTGTATACACAGTCGACAGGACAGGGCCTTGGCACGAACAAAATTCTGGATGCCGGTGCACGCTGTGAAGGTGATGGACAGTAGCTAGACTAAGCTGAGCACTCTGTACCGCACTTCTTGGTTTCCAGTCCTTCACCTTCGCACGTCTTGCCTCCTCCAATTTCCTGGCACAACACCAGATCACCCTGCTGAGCCCACAGTAGCTGGCTTATGGCCTTCTTGTTGTAGGCACATGCCGAGATGTCTGGCTCCAGCACCAAGCCGGTGTTGCAGAGCAACACCTGACACTCAGAGCACTTTCTGAGATGCTCACAGTGAGCCCAGTCTCCTCCCCCAAGCACATCGAAGCACTATCTGACCATCTGACATCCCCGTTCTTGCTACTCTGCGACGCTGCTACGTTGCTACGCTGCCACGCTGCCACCACGCTGCTGCACGTCAGATCTTCTTCGAAACAAATCCCCAGTCCTAAAGAAATGCCTCCTTTCCGTCGCAGCCCATGTCAGAGAGTCCCTGACAATCGGCTGACACCTGAAAGCGATGGCGCAAAGCGATAAGCATTATGCTGAGCCGCAGTTGAACAAGGCCTTGCACTTCTCCTGTGCTTCTGCAAGAGGCAGAGCAGCATTCGCCTGGCTCGACTACGACAGGTTCTTCGCATTCGCCTCATTCTAAAAGCTCCTGAAACCCTCCAGCTGCTAGCCTGCTCATGGGCGGAATCACACTTTTTCCGCATCTTCAGCTCAAAGCCAAAGATCTGGGCGCCCACCAGCTGAAGAAGAGCTGCTCCTCTGCAAGTTGCTTTCAGATGCCTCGCCTTTGAAGAGCTCCAGGTCCCACCTGGTGGTGCGGAACTGGCCACAAACGTCTGGTCCCTGCTCCTGTGCCCACGACGAAGGAAACCCCTTTCCCAGCGTGATGACTTTTACCCAGCCTATTCGCGGTTCCGCCACCACAGGACACTGGGCAGTCGGTCCAGTCAGTCCAATCCGCCCAGCTGCAATCCATGCAAAAATTAGTGCAGGTCTGTGTCTCATTTAGAGCACCTTGGGATCACACACATTGAGGTGCCATTGTCTCCTAGCTATGCCTGGCTTGACAAGCTTTGCGCATCCAAGATGCCACAGGCAACTCCACCATGTACTGGTAGCGTTTTCACAGTGCGATGCCGCGATGTGTTACCTCTTCAAGGATGGAGTCTTCAAAGGGAAAACGAATGAAACAACACTTGCTGAGTCCCTTCCTGCGCAGTAGGGCTCGCAAGTTGTCCAGGCTGACCAATCGTTGAGCTCGCAATCAACCGGGCAGACTGCATCACCGCAAGGTCGAGTCTCCGTCTTGTTCCTTGGCTCAGTGCACAAACATGATCATCTGCACAGTAAGGAGAAGCTGGCTTGAAGCTGACTGCCATCGGGCTTCCCGAAGCATGCTTTGCCTCCGTTGGTAGGCGGGACGGCTACATCACGAGAGCGATTCTGACGGCCGCCACCACAGGACACGGGACACTCCACCCAGGCAGACCAATCCTGAAAGGCAAAGTGGAAACTAGCCGCTGCCTCTACAGGTACCCTTTGGGTACTTCAGCTCCTCGTATTCGCAGTCCGTGCACACACCATCGCAGGACTCCTCCTCGTTTGTGTCGCCACAAGCCTTCAAGATATTTCACAGTGGATTCCAAGGCTCTCCCAGGCACTGCTTGAGATCGTCTTGTGACCGCAAGGGGCGTCTAGGATGTGGGTAGGGTCCATGCGGTAGGTAACACACCTCATCAAACAACCAAACATGTCACCCTTCTTTTGCCGGCCTCGCCACCATGCGAGGCTGCTTGGATGATCATCCGGCTTCGCCTGATTGACATTCGAGGCACGCCAACAAAATCTCTCGAGAATACCGAGCTGACAGCGGCCGAGTCACTTGCGCTTCCCTTTGCAGTCGGGTGTGCAGTGGCCCCAGTCCTGACAGAAAGTTGCTCGCTTGAGCAGAGCACCCTGTCAGAAAGATACCAAAAGCTGGGACCCCAAAAGCGTGCAGCAGGATAAGACAAGAAGTAGGTGCTTGGCCCCAAAACGTCATGAGCAGCACGTGACCAAGCAGAAAGAACCCTTCCGAGCCCAGAAACTATTCAGACCCTCGAACCTACCAACTGCCATACTCCCAAACCAAGCGGCGCTTACTTGACTCCAAACCCTTCTACTTCTACCTGTTGACTCAGGCGACTCTGAAGCTGGAGTTTGGTCATGGGCACGTCCTGCCAGTCGCTGATGGTGCAGTCCACTGGGCAGTCTTCTTCATTGCAATCCTGGAAACACGCAATGCAATGAAAAAGCTTGGAGGTGTGTACCTCAAGCAACATGTCTTGCCTCATGCACAAGCCTCGCTTGACCTGCTAAGGTGTGTGGAGTGCTAACAACCTACAGGCTCCAAGATGTGGATTTATGTCAGGATTTTGTGGTCCAAAGTGCACGGCTGCTCCACACGAGAGTTCGACCTTAAACAGACATGCGGGGACACTCCATGCGAAAGCTCAACTGACAATCTCAAAACGCTCAAACACACTAGTTACAGACCTGCTGAACTAGAAGGGTGCAACGCATATCAAGCAGCCACTCTTCTTTTCCAGCCACATCTCGATTCAGTGGCAAAATTCCCCTTCTGGGTGTATTGGTGCACTGTCGGTGCACTGTCCCGGTGTTTCCCATGCTGCACCTATGGTTTAGGGGCTTCCTGCAACAGTAACTCTTTATGCTTTGTTGGGACCAGAAACACCGCTATTTGGTGGAGAAAAACACTGCTATTTTGCGGAAGAAACGCTGCTATTTTGTGTTATCTTGGGGAGAAAAACACCGCTATTTTGCGGAAGAAACGCTGCTATTTTGGGGAGGAAAAAACTGTTATCTTGGGGAGAAAAACACCGCCATTTTCGGGAGGAAACGCCGCTATTTTTCGGAGGAAACGCTGCTATTTTGGAGAAAAGCACCGTTATTTTGGGGAGGAAACACTGCTATTTTGGGGGAGGAAACACTGCTATTTTGATCAGAAAAACACTGTTATTTCGGGTAGGAATAAAACTATTTTGGGGAAGAGTAGCCCACTATTGGGGGGTAGAAATCATCTCTGTGTAGGGTAAGAATGCCTAGCGATTGGGGCAAGGATAATCATCATCTCCGGGATGGTTGTGGGGCCCCGATTGCATCATTGTCATCCTAATTATCAACAATCACCTTGTTGGGGTCCAATACACAACTATGTCTACTATTTCATGAGCCCATGGGCCATGAGAAACGTTTGGGCTACGTGTACATCTAAGGACTATAGAGCCTCTTCATAATGACAGCTGCTTCTTATTCCACAACCAACAAAATCCAGATCTTACTCGGCCTAGCCGGTTAACATTCAAAAAAGAACATCTTTTTCCCCAAGAAATACCGGTATGTTTTCCAAAAAGAGTTGCCTTTTCATCAAAAAATACCGTTCTTTTCTCACAAAATGGTTGCGTTTTTCTCACAAAAAATAGCCATTCCGGGAGGAAAAAAACAGTTATTTTGTCCAAAATAACTGTTTTTTTTCCTCCCGGAATCGCTATGTTTTGTGAGAAAAACGCAACCATTTTGTGAAAAAAGAACGGTATTTTTTGATGAAAAGGCAACTTTTTTTGGAAAACATAAATACTGGTATTTTGGGAAGAAAAACGCCGATGGAACATTGACCCCAAGGTATGTAGCCTGATGTGATCTAAGGCACAATGTCAATGTTTGCTCGGCCCCATGACACATTGTCTACCTTGGTGACTGCTCGTACCTCTTCTACCCTGGAGCCCAAGCTAACAGTTTTCTGCCTCGTTACCGCACCGATTGGCTCTTTCAAGCTGTTCTCCCCCGTAATAACAAGACTTAGCACCCGAACTGCTCGGAAATGTAGATCTGTTCTGCGTTGATTGCTGGTCGCTCTTACCACAAAAATCATGAACTCGTGCCTAGAATGACTCTATGTTCATGTCTTTTCTACCTCGGTTCTAGGCAATTTTATCGCCAGAATCCCAAAATAGCAACTATTGTTGCCCAAAAATAGCAGCGATTCAGGCCCGAACTAGTAGCCACTTTGGCCCAAAATAACAAATTCTTTGCCCGAAACGGGAGCTAGTTTGGCCCCCCAAATAACAGCTATTTTTGCCCCAAATAGCAGCTTTTTTACCACAAAATAGCAGCTATTTCCGGCAAAAACAACTGATTATCTGTGCCTGTTCAGCTGCCTGTGCGATGCCAACCGCTGCCAGCACATACGGCTTAAAGAAAGCCCCTTATTTACTGTTGGAAGTAGCCCCTAGCCTATGGTGCCGTCGAAATACAGGACCGGGCAATCGAACTTTCCCGTCGCTGGTGCTCGATTCCCATCGTAGCTGACACCAGCTGAGCTATTGGCCTCCAAGTACGGAGTGAAGGGGCCCAGCTCGGGGATCTTTTCAAAACTTAAAGTAGATGCGGCCCTGATGTCGCCTATGATTTTTAAGGCACGAGTGGTGATGGCCTTGCGCGGGATCTCTATGCGGGACCATAACAGTCCTTCGGGTAATGATTCAAAGCGGCTGACAGGGTCTTTTTTTTTGCACTTTGAACCG